TCTCTGGATTAAGTTTAGAAGTGTGAGCAACAAAGGTGATGTTGTGATGGGAGTCTGCTATAGACCACCAGACCAGGGGGACGAAGCGAACCAGGCTTTCTTCCGGCAACTAGCAGAAGTTACTAGATCGCAGGCCCTGGTTCTCATGGGGGACTTCAATCACCTCAATATCTGCTGGGAAAGCAATACAGCAGTGCACAGACAATCTAGGAAGTTTTTGGAAAGTGTAGGGGACAATTTCCTGGTGCAACTGCTGGAGGAACCAACTAGGGGCAGAGCTCTTCTTGACCTGCTGCTCACAAACAGGGAAGAATTAGGAGGGGAAGCAAAAGTAGATGGGAACCTGGGAGGCAGTGACCATGAGATGGTTGACTTCAGGGTCCTGACAAAAGAAAGAAAGGAGAGCAGCAGAATATGGACTCTGGACTTCAGACAAGCAGACTTTGACTCCCTCAGGAAACTGATGGGCAGGATCCCCTGGGAGAATAACATGAGGGGAAAAGGAGTCCAGGAGAGCTGGCTGCATTTTAAAGAATCCTTATTGAGGTTGCAGGAAATAAACATCCTGATGTGTAGAAAGAATAGTAAATATGGCAGGTGACCAGCTTGGCTTACCAATGAAATCCTTGCTGATCTTAAACACAAAAAAGAAGCTTACAAGAAGTGGAAGATTGGACAAATGACCAGGGAGGAGTATAAAAATATTGCTCAGGCATGCAGGAGTGAAATCAGGAAGGCCAAATCACACCTGGAGTTGCAGCTAGCAAGAGATGTTAAGAGTAACAAGAAGGGTTTCTACAGGTATGTTAGCAATAAGAAGAAGGTCAAGGAAAGTGTGGGCCCCTTACTGAATGAGGGAGGCAACCTAGTGACAGAGGATGTGGAAAAAGCTAATGTACTCAGTGCTTTTTTGCCTCTGTCTTTACGAACAAGGTCAGCTCCCAGACTACTGCACTGAGCAGCACAACATGGGAAGGAGGTGACCAGCCCTCTGTGGATAAAGAAGTGGTTCAGGACTATTTAGAAAAGCTGGACGAGCACAAATCCATGGGGCCGGATGCACTGCATCCGAGGGTGCTAAAAGAGTTGGCGGATTTGATTGCAGAGCCATTGGCCATTATCTTTGAAAACTCATGATGATTTGGGGAAGTCCTGGATGACTGGAAAAAGGCTAATGTAGTGCCCATCTTTAAAAAAGGGAAGAAGGAGGATCCAGTCAGCCTCACCTCAATCCCTGGAAAAATCATGGAGCAGGTCCTCAAGGAATCAATTTTGAAGCACTTAGAGGAGAGGAAGGTGATGATCAGGAACAGTCAGCATGGATTCACCAAGGCAAGTCATGCCTGACTAACCTAATTGCCTTCTATGATGAGATAACTGGCTCTGTGGATGAGGGGAAAGCAGTGGATGTGTTATTCCTTGACTTGAGCAAAGCTTTTGATACGGTCTCCCACAGTATTCTTGCCAGCAAGTTAAAGAAGTATGGGCTGGATGAATGGATTATAAATCCTGCAAAACCTGCCACATGACCACATTAACACTTTGCAAGTTTAATCCCCAGAGTGCCACATGTATCTCTGCCTATCCCAATTGCGCTTTCCTGTTGGAGTATGTACGTATAGTACGGTCCCACCATTTGTTTTGAGTTACAGCGGCTTTGAGGACCCCTCATTGCCTATCTTACAAAAACATACAAAAAGCCGTGAAACAGATTTTCATTTACTTGTAGCCAGATTTTGTTACTTGCTTGATCAGCTTGTCTGCAAGTGTCAGGTTCTCTCTCCTAGCTTTCTGATTGTCCGTGGTTCTTGATAGAGATGTAAGGTTAATGGAAAGTAGATTTCATGACACTGGTTACCCCTGTGGGCTTAGCTGATGCTAAGGAGTGTGTGGTGAGGGAAACAGAGTTTTTCAATTGACAGTCAATGGGAAATCATTTATTTTCAATTGATATTAAACATTCACATTTGTTATGAGCAGCATGGTGCAAATAACTGGTTTTTCATTGTGCTAGCTGTACCGGGGGCGGGGGGCAGGAGGGGGGAGGGGGGAGAGAATAATTTAAATTGAGAATCAGGTTTAAGTTTTTGGTGAAATGAAAAATAAATTAACAAAAAAAATTGGTTTGTGGTTCCATGAAACATTTAATTCAAAATAAAACAAAATATTTAGTGTCCTTTTTGAGTTTCTACATTTAAAAAAAAAAATTAAATACATTTGTAAAGAAACAACTAATTCAAATGAAAAAGTCAAATGTTTCATCTAGAAAATGTGTAAATAAAACATTTTTACTTCTTTGGAATTTTTTTTTGTCCAAACCAATTTGCCAAACTGAACACAAATTCACTAAACATTTTGGTCGACCCCAAATTTGCCTTTTTTGGCCAAAAAAGAAAATACAGTTTCAGATGAAAAATTTGCCCAACTCTAGGTATGAGTTCTTATGGAGGGATGAGTTGTCCCTCGCTAGTAAAGGTTGAAACTAGCTTCTCATTACACCTGAAATTTACCCCTGCTCAGTGAACCAACACAGGATCTGTACACCCTGAAATTCCATTTAAACCCTAAAAATATCAGCACAAAGTTGAATTTCACCCTTCAAGCCCAGTTTTTATCCCTCTACAGAGGGTGAACTTCTCCCAACATTTGCAAAATGAAACCAATGGGCATCAAACCTAATGTTGGCCCATCTCCTTACAAGGGAGAACGTCCCTAGAACGTTTGGGACAAATCATGCAAGGAATCATCGAGCCATAGGATTTCAAAATCTTTATCTATTTCAGTGTACAGGAAATTTGAGTGATTATAAAAATGCTTTTCCACATCCCTATGTTCTTTCTGAAATAGATTTGTAGAACTCGAGGTCTTTCTTATTAATACTATTTTTTTCTTAGTGTAATTAACAACAGACTTTGCAGGCACTTATCTGACATAAGAACATCTGTGGCTATGCCCAATAGGCATAATTTAAGAGGCATTAAAATGTTTCTAAAACTATATTTAAGGTAAAATCAATTTACTTCGCAGCTGATGAGCCAAAAGACAGCAAGACATGAGCAAAAAGAGCGGAATTTATAGCAGTCAACACTTACACACAGCTGTAGACTAGCATAAATGGGCTTCTAGACTGCCCAAGGTATGTCATTTAAAAGGACTAAGTATGCTATTCATTCATTCTTAGAGTGGATGATTCTCAGTATGTTTCCCGACACTAATCAGTTTGCTAAGCCATGGAAGAAAACGTTCTCCACAATAACTCTATACATTATTTCTCCATTGGTTGCGTTGAAAAGACTAAAAAAAACCCCAACTTAATGTAAAAAGCTTTTTTGGGAGGGAAACAACTTTGCTTCTTGTTTTCCATTATGGAGAGAGAAAGAGGGAGCCAGAAAAGATGTTAAAGTTACAGCAAGTAATCAAAGATGCCAACAAAGTGCTCTTGGAATGCAGATTAAATCGGGTGTATTGTGTGAGTGTCTTCGTGAAGGTGAACATACACAGGAATGTCAATTCCAGAAAATTAAGTCATCATGAAGAATGTGTCGTCTCTGATCTTCTTCTCCCTCAAAGATAATGAAACAGCCCACGCTAGCAAAACAAATATTCGCTCTCCAAGCCCTACCAGCTGCATTATCCTCCCATGTATCTGGGCATGCATCAGGTGTTAAAAATATCTATGGTGCACAGGTATACAAGCAGTACCTTTGAGTTCACACTATTATCTTGGGAGAGCAAACTCTATCTCTAAGGCCTGGTCCACACTAACCCCCCACTTCCAACTAAGGTACGCAAATTCAGCTACGTTAATAATGTAGCTGAATTCGAAGTACCTTACTTCGAACTTACCGCGGGTCCAGATGCAGCAGGCAGGCTCCCCCGTCGATGCCGCGTACTCCTCTCGCCGAGCTGGAGTACCGGCATCGACGGCGAGCACTTCCGGGATCGATTTATCGCATCTAGACAAGACGCGATAAATCGATCCCAGAAGATCGATTGCTTACCGCTGGACCCGGAGGTAAGTGTAGACCTACCTTTAGTGTGAAGTCCCCTGAAATCTTATTAGGAAAAAAAAATCTTTGCCAAGGGATTAATAAGTGGGCAAAGAAAATGGTCCAACCTAAAGTTTGCAAACTTTTCACTTGCTCCAATCCAATCAAGTTTTTCCCACGTGCCCACTACTCTGCTCCCTGGACCCCAGGGTATCTATGGCTGATGTGTAGTGGAGTATGAAAGCTTGTGGTTACAGGTGCTTTCAATGGAAAACCAGGTTGAACTCTATGGTTTTAACTGAGTTTTTCTTTGCAGCAAAAGATTTGGGAGCTAGGGTTTGTGAAGTTAACCAAGTTAAGTCCCGGTAACAAGTATACACAAAGCCACAGAAACCAAAAGCATTGCATTCTCTTATCAAATTCATAATAATCATAATAAAGACGTAGCACTTCTAATCATTAGATCGACAAGTGCCTAAGAAAAGTGAGCAAGTATCATTGTATCTTGCTCTAGATCAGGAGTGGGGAACCTTTTTTCTATCAGGTGCCATTGACCCAGAGAAAAAAAATCAGTCGTGAGCCACACACAACCCTGCGGGAAGGAGGGGGGCGGGGGCACGGAGGCTCAATGCTTCCCCTAGGCTCTGGGGTGGGGCCAGAAATGAGGGGTTCAGGGTGCGGGAGGGAGCTCCGGGCTTTGGCTGGGGGGTGCGGGCTCTGGGGTGGGGCTAGGGATGAGGGGTTTGGGGTACAGGAGTGGGCTCCAGGCTGGGACCAAGGGGTTTGGAGTGTGGGAGGGGGCTCAGGGCTGGGGTAGGGGGTTGGGGTGCAGGAGGAGGTTCGGAGTGCAGGGTCCGGGAGGGAATTTGGGTGCAGGAGGGGGCTCAGAGCTGAGGCAGGGGGTTGGGGTGCAGGATCTGGGAGGGAGAGTGCGGGAGGGGGTTCCGACCTGGGGCAGGGGATTCGGGGCGCAGGCTCTGGCCCGGTGGCGCTTACCTCAGGTGGCTCCCAGTCAGCAGTGCAGCAGGGCTAAGGCAGGCTCCCAGCCTGTCCTGGCTCCTTGCTGCTCCCAGAAGCATCCGCCATGTCTGGCCCCTAAGCAACCTCTTGGGGCCAGAAAGTGCAGGGGAGAAGTGGGAACTGCCAAAAGCCAAGCAGCGCGAGACCTGGCAAAGAAAATTTAAACCAATAGTAAAAGGTTCTTTAGCCATATAAATAAAAAGAAAACAAGGAGAGAAGAAATGGGACCACTAAGCACTTAGGATGGGGTTTTAATAAGGGTGATGAGAAGCTTGGGGACAGTGGGAGGGTGGCTAATGGGAACGAGGAAATGGAAATAGAAATTACCTCATCTGATGTGGAAGCCAAATTCAAACAACTTAATTGGACCAAATCAGGGGGGGGGCTAGATAATCTCTATCCATGAATATTAAAGATACTGGCACATGAAATTGCAAGCCCAATTGCAAGAATTTTTATGAATCCATAAATTCAGGGGTCATATTCTATGACTGGAGAATTGCAAATATAGTACCTATATTTAAGAAAGGGGAAAAATGTGATTTGGGAAACTATAGGCCCATTAGTTTGACCTTAATGATACGCAAGGTCTTTGAGCAAATTTTGAAAGACAAAGTAGTTAAGGACATAGAGGTAAACAGTAACTGGGATAAAATACAAAATGGTTTTAAAAAAGGTAGATCGTATCAGACCAATCTGATATCTTTCCATTGGGTATGAGATAGACACATATCTGTCTTTCCATTTGAAGGACAGTATAAATGGGAAACCATATTTGTATTTTACATTTGCCTTGTCTGAGAAGTGTGGTTACTCAGTGCAGTTCCCATCATTTACTAAGGGTTGAGTTTTCCAGATCTGGGGAGATTTTTATGGCTTGGTTGAAAATCAGTGGTTCACATCTCTTCCTCATTGATTTCAGGATCTTTTCGCTGTAAATGGACAATCCCATCTCTCAGTCTATAGTTTATGCAGTAAAAGGGCAATCTTAGAATGAATGCATTCCTTGCTGCCCATAGGTTGGAAAAGATTTCTTTCTTCTGTGTCCTCTGGAATACCTTTAGCTCTTAGATTGTTTCTACATTCCCTGTTCTCCATGGTCCTCCAGTTTTAATCCTCTCTCTCCTTCTCTTTTTTTCCAGTTCTTTGGAGTCTTTCACCAAGATAGGTAATACTATTTGATTGCTCATTTGATGCAGTTGCCACCTTTGTTGTTTTCTTATCAATCTCACTAATTTCACTTTTGATGTCCTTTATGTTGGCCTGGAGTTCTTCTTTCATTCTCCTTAATCATCTTCTTAGTTTCTGCTAGCAGATCTCTCAGCTCAGCCTCAGTGATCAGTGCTTTTCTTTCTGCCTCCATAGTTTATCTGCTGGAGGAACCTTTTTTCATGGCGGGAAGGTCTCTATGTGGGAAGATTTTCTTCTTTTTCCAGACATCTAGCTTCTATTAGATGTTAACCCATCAATGACCTGGGGTTGCCTCCTCCTTGCTGGTCAGTCTCCTCACCAAATGGCCACCACCACACTTCTTCCCTGCTTGTCTGGCCCCTCTCAAGATGGCTGGCACACCATTTCCTCACTTATCCAACCCTTCACAAGATGGCTGCCACCACACATCGTCCCCCCACCCATACTAGTGCTGTAGCAGGGCAGTTACCCCACTCCTGAGAGAAAAGGCTAGGCTGATTGAGGAAGCAGCCACAGCTGGGGCCACGG